AGCACACAAGTGATTCACTTGCAGGGGTTAGGATGTTCCAGGCCCCAAGCATGTTCACGTCCACTTCGACTCCATCCGTTCCCAAGAGCATCCATACCAACGTCCCCCGAAACCCTAAATGCGAAGCCCTAAACCCTAAGACCTAAACCCTCGTGGCTGAGTGCATTCCCTAGTGAAGCCGAAGCCCAAGCATGGTTTTCGCCCGGAGGTAGCCGAGTAGCATGCATTAGCTAAGAAGTTCAGGGTTTAGGGTTTGGGGTTTTATTTGGGATTTAGGCTTTGGGGTTTAGGGTCTTGGGGTAATCGAATCATGACATCATGCCAGCAGCAGACAGCTGTTTCAGCTGAGAGCTTCGAGCCGTTCTTATGCTGCTGATCGCAGAGTCGGTAAAAGATTATAGCCACTACATCTTCGTACATGTTAGTAAGACTAGTAACTACAGTAGTCCCTGATTATCTTAAACCCAAAACCCGAAACCAGCTCTGTCTAAATTAGGGTCCCCAACATAGGACAGCACCTTTTTGAAAAGAACCCTAACAGGAACCCTAATTCAGCGAACTACCCACAACCCTAAACCTGCAACCCGAAACCCTAAACCCTAAACCCTGAACCCTAAACCCCAAACCCTAAACCCTAAAGAGGCCGAGATACGACACCACGAGGGTCAGACAAAGAGCCGGACAAGCAAGAAGTCGCATGATGAACTTGAGAACCGGGCTGTCAGTCCCAGAAAGACCTGATTTGGGGTTTGGGGTTCAGGGTTCAGGGTGCAGGGGTTTAGGGTTTAGGGTTTGGGGTTTGGGGTTTAGGGTTCAGGGTTTAGGGTTCAGGGGTTTAGGGTTTAGGGTTTAGGGTACTAGGGTGCAGGGTTTAAGGTTTAGGGTTTAGGGTTTAGGGTTCAGGGTTCAGGGTTCAGGGTTCAGGGTTCAGGGTTTAGGGTTCAGGGTTCAGGGTGTAGGGTGTAGGGTGCAGGGCAGGGGTTAGGGTTTAGGGTTCAGGGTTTAGGGTTTAGCGTTTAGGGTTTAGGGTTTCGGGTTTAGGGTTCAGGGTTTTTTGGTCGAAAGGACTTCAAAGGGCTCTTCAGCCTGACGGGGGTGAGGGCCTTGGACATAGTCTTAGGATTAAGGCCGACGCTTAGAAGGGTCTTCAGGGCTTAAGAGTGTTGCACGTTTGGTCGGGTGTGCTGTTGACTTCTGCATCGGGCTGGGGAACCATGATTGTGATCTTTGCTACCGCGCTGCGATTCCTGCGACAGCGCTGTTGATGCGAGTGTGGCTCAGGCTTCCCTCTCCATTGCAAGTGCTACGGCTCGCACTGGCAGGCTTGCTTCCACTGTTCTTCCCACCACCCTCTCATGACCATTCATGTTGACTCCCTGCCCTGCTAGTACCAGCCGGAGAGGCAAGTAATGCGGACGAAGTCGAAATCAAGGGTCAAAATGTCCTTGCTTTGGCTGAGTGCTTGAAGGGACTGAACCTAAGTTACCAGACTAGGGATCTATTGTAAATAAGAGGCTTTCCTTGTTATGGCAACTTAACCTAAGTTCCGTAACATTATTATTTGTAGTGTAGCACGCCCCCTAACCGCTAAAAACTCCCAACCCAAAGCCCCAAACCCTTTTAGACCCTAGATCAATCTAAATCAGCTTGGGATGTGTAGGAGCCCAGGAATCCTTGGGAAATGGAGCTGCCGCTGCCCAAGCACGACAGGAGCCTTCCAACATACTCCTACACCCACAGGCCCTAAACCCGTCAAGGGATCTATGCTCTAAGGGATCTTAACCCGATAAGGGATCTATGATCTATGAGGGGTTCCTTTAAGGGATCTTTTGGGGTTCCTTTAGGGCATCTGTGAGGGGCTCCTTTAAGGGATCTATGTGGAGTTCCTTTAAGGCATCTATGAGGCGCCTTCCTTCGGGGCCTGGAGGACTTAAGTGGTTTGGGATAGAAGCCTGGGGGTCGAAGACTGCATGCTTAGGGTTTAGGGTCTTTCCCTCCCTTTCTCCAACCCCAACCCTAAACCCTAAACCCTAAACCCTAAACCCTAAACCCTAAACCCTAAACCCCCTTCCTGCAATCCCCTCCCCTCAAGTACAACTTCAAGACTGAATTGAACTCACTCCAACGCTGCCCCCCCATGAACCAAAAAAGCACGCCTAAACCCTGGGTTTAGGGTTTAGGGTTTAGGGTTTAGGGCCCCTTCTTCACCTCGCAGAACAACTACAGAAGTCATTGCCATGAACCTCTCCCCCTAAAATGCCAAACAAGCTAAACCCTAAACCCTGAACTTCAGAACCGTAAATAACCCCTAAACCCTAGCCCCAAAAACATAAGCCACCAAAACCCCCAGAACCAAACTCTCAACACCCAGGAAGCCCAGAACCCAAAACCCGAATTACAGAACCGGAAACCAGACCCCTATCACAAGAAACCCAGAGAAGGAACCCTGAAAAGGGACCCCAAAATCCAAACCCTCCCCCTGCCACCCTAAACCCTAAACCCTAAACCCTAAACCCTAAACCCGAAACCCTAAACCCTAAACCCCTAAACCAAAAACAAAAAAAAAAAAGAAAAGGAGGCCACGTTTCGGTAAACTCAAGGAGGGCTTTCACCGGATGCTGCCACTCGATGGAGAGCTGCCTTGGGCAAAGGTGGTGTAGGGTTTGATGGTGTAGGGGCTTAGGGTTTAGGGTTTAGGGTTTAGGGTTTAGGGTTTAGGGTTTAGGGGCTTAGGGTTTATAATAACGGGGTTTCGGGTTAAGGGTTTAGGGTTTAGGGGTTTAGGGGCTTAGGGGTTTAAGGGCTTAGGGTTTATAATAACGGGGTTTCGGGTTAAGGGTTTAGGGTTTAGGGGTTTAGGGGCTTAGGGGTTTAAGGGCTTAGGGTTTATAATAACGGGGTTTCGGGTTAAGGGTTTAGGGTTTAGGGGTTTAGGGGTTTAGGGTGT